CGAGGCCGCGGAGGCTGGGCGGCTTGTCGGGGTGCTGCTCGTCCGGCCCTCGGCCCTGGCGGGTGGGCCGCTTGTGAGCCTTCGGGGTCGGTGGCGGTCCCCTGTGGGGTGCCTGCGGTCTGTATTCGTGCGGCAAAGCTGAGGGCAGCTGCCCCCCGTAACGCCGTGGGATGTGCTCAGCCGGGAGCAACCGTGTTGTTTTCCGCCGACAAGCGTAAACAGGCCCCTCCCTGAGGGGAGAAAGCGCCAAGAGCTCGGGCAGGGTTTGCCCTGCGATAATAAAATGCAGCTGGGCCCAACTGGAGGCTCGCCTAGGCACGTTTCTGGTTAATTTTTGCTTCTGTGCTTCATCGGTTCGCTTCACCTGGTAATCGCGGTCAGTGAGCCCCATGGCCTCCTGCAGTGGCAGGCTGCCGTGCGGCGTTTTATTTAAGCCCTTCTGCTCGTTGATCTTTTTCTGACGGGTGCTGATTTTTCACGAAGGCCGAGGCTGCTCTGTTTGGGTGCGAGTGTATCCCCCCTGCCCTGCCTTCCCTTCTCCTCTGCCTCTCAGTCAGGGCAGCAGCACGAGGAGCTGGGAATGTGAGTGGCAGAGCCCAGCTGTGGATGGGAATGAAAAACATCCTGTTTGTTTGTATAAACAGTGAGTCAGTTTTACTGGCAAAAACGCTCTCAGCCAGTGGCTTTCACAGCAGAAAAGGTCAAAACTGGCCAGGGAAAGAGTTAAACGTTGGTCGCAGATTAAATAGGAAGGGACAGACTCTGAAGTCAGAGAAGGGAAAAGTATGTGACTAAACAGCCTTTGAAGTTACTATGAAGAGGCCGCTTACGTTCTGCTCCCTCATCCATACGATTATCAGAGGTGTACGTGGTAGCCAGGTGCTTAAATGGTTTTGGAGTCCTCTACCGGCTGGAAAGGCCTGAAAGCAGAGCTTTGAAGTTCTGGGAGGGGGAGAGGTGTGCCATGAGATGGCAGGGCTGGTAGACAATGATAGCTAAGGGACTGTGTGTAAAAAGGTCAAGAAGAACAAAAGGTGCCCAGAATATGGGACAGCAGAGAGAGATTTAAATATCATGGAGCGGAAGGAATTATTTACGGTCCCATGGAGGATTCAGCCAGCATCCTTCAACTGCAATCCATAAATGAGGCAGAAGAGGAGGAAATTCTTCCAGAGCTGATAGGTTAAGCTACAGAATCATTGTCCAATGGGAAGGGATAAAAACATTGTTGTTTAGGTCATTTTAGGTCCTGTAAGCCCATGGAAAGTGTGCGGCTTTCATTCTGTGCTGCCCAGTGAGGCAGATCTCGCTTCCAAGTCCTGTAACTCTGACTGTGGCTTGGTGAGAAGCACAGCCCTTCCCTGTGCTGCATGGCAGGATGCTCTCTGACTCCGATCATTGTTTGATGCATTTGAGATTAGTTACTGGCAAATACTTGCTGAAGAGGAGCAAGGTAAAATAGTGGAGTGGCTCTTCCTTTCTGGAAAGGACTGTTCATTAAAGGGGTGAGGGTGAATGCATTTCCCCGGCATTTGTTTCTGGAGTGACTTAAAAACAGCTCCTGTGAGCTGGAGGGAAGTGCTGATGCACTTGCTTGGAGGAAAGGAGGAATGCAGACAGCCACTGCTGGCACAAGCGCCACCCTGGAACCTTTGCTGTTGAATCTATATGGAGTGGGGAGATAAACTCTTTGTTGGTGGGATTGTGCGACTATGTGTGAGTAGTATTGTGTGAGCTGGCATTTGGCTCAAACCAATGTGTTGATGAGGGACATGAAAGGTTTTACGATAGAGTCAAGTGAGCAACTAAACCGTTTAAGTGCTAGGCTCTGATGAAATGGGGAGAGGTTTGTGATAAAAGAACAGGCATCTAGCAGCAGGTGCAGTATGTGTTTTGGTGCTACCTGCAGGTAATGTTGGACCTTGTGATGTCAAATAGGACATAAGTTTTCAGCAAACAGGCTGATTCTCAACCAGTCTTCTGCTACAGCAATCTGTATTTATGTTATCTAGAGCCTCCACGTTGAGGATTCGGAGGGACTTGTACAAGGGAGGATTAGCCTTGTTTTACAACCGAAGGAGGAGCTCAGAAGCAGGGGAGGAGAGCGCTGGGAGATGACAGGTAGTCAGCTGTCTGGTGGTGGGCAAAGGCGCCATTTGAGAACGTGCTGTGGCGGGGGTGGGTGTCTGCGGAGTACAATGCTTGCTGCAGTGGCCGGTAGCAATTGGATATTTCTGCTCTTCCGTACACTGAGCCATATCTGTTTGCTCATGAAGAGCAGTAACTTGCTGCCTTTTTCCTGCCTAACAATTTCTCATTTGATTTCTAGGTTGTTTTCTTCCACCTCCCTGAGACCCCTCTTTCTCCTCAGCATGTCCCTTCTTGGCATCCTCTTGCTGGAGAGGTGGAAGCCCCGGTTCCTGTTTGATTTCTCAGGTATGTGATGAGGAGTAGTGTAGCTAGTGACACAGTTCTGGTGTTACCAGCTGCTGGGCTATGGCCACAGCTGGTCCTTTCCTGGCTCTCTCATAGGTCACATAAGCTCTGTTCCTACTGTAACTGCAGGCTTTGGTACTGGTGCTGCCTCTTGCCTATTTGTGTCAGAGTATTAGGATGTATCCTAATATTGTGGGCGTGGGGGGAATTGCTCCCAGTGCTGAGAAGTTCTGGGAGTGGCTCATTTTGAGAGTGACTAAGGGGGCCCAGCTAACTTGTCAAGGAAGCTGGTGACCATGATGATGCAGTGTTTCTGCTGTGTCCTTTCTCTCCTGCAAATGTCATGGCAAAAAGATCGTTCCAGGTCTGAGCATATATGGCCAGCTGACCTGGGGGAAGGAAACGGGGCGGGGGGGGGGGTGTTGGGTTGAAGTGTATTGGTTTTAGTTAAGTGCAGTGTGGGCTTATGGCCTGAAAGAGACAGAGCAGACGAGAGCAACTTCTCCTTGAGGCAGGTAGTAGAATGGATGATGAGGTCTGACAGCAGGGCCAGTTAGTGTATTGTACCTGTACTGAACAGCATCTGGTCTCCAGCTAATGGGTGAGTCTGATCACTTAGCTTATCTTTCCCATTTATTGAAGGGTCTTTGCCAACATTAGACACAAAAGCAACAAGAGGAATAGCCTCATAACGATGATAAGCATAGATTGGCTGCTGTCTGCTTTGAGTGCCTCCTTCATTGGAGTTTATTAAATGACTGGACCCAGACCTGCCTACTGCATCTACTGCTGCTGTTCAAAGGCAGCTTGGAGCCCTCCATCCCTGCCCCCCTACTCTAGGGAGGGCTTCTGAATGAAAGCCCCTCTATATGTGTGTTTGTAAGGTGCCCTTTATTTGACCTGAAAGGGTACTGACTTAAAGGGTGCTTTCACAGAAGTCCTGATAAGATTAGATATGTTTCAGCTGTAGTCTTGAAACTGTTTGCTTTGTGTGGTTCAAGTAACTAGGCAGCTAAACTGGACTTGCCAATTTAATTTCCTGCTTATTCACATTGGTTTTTTAAGGGAATAGTTTAAAGCCAACCCAAAACATCTCACTTGAAACATGTCCAGAAATGCAAAAGCCTAGTGTCCAATACAGAATGGTGTCATTGAGGCAGGTGGGGGTAGAATCGCTCCAGCAAGTACCAGGCCTGTAAAAGTTGTGTTATCACAGAAGAAATAGGAAATCCATACTGAAATTTATTTATGTGATGCAGAACAGTGAGGAATAAAAAAGAAAAACAAACAAAACAACACATCAGGGGTTAGGCTTATCCTGTGTCACCAGCTCTGGAAGAAGTCAGTGCACATCCTACTGAGCTGATCCTCAGTTGTGTTCTTCCTTATATTTCCCTCCTTGCTGCTTTTCTGCTGCTGACAGCAAAGAACAGGGACACCTTTCTGATGTGCCTGGTTAGGTCACAGCCCTGATATTGACATGGTCCAGTGGACTGTGTTTCCTCAGCGTCCGCAAGGAAGGAGCGGTGCTCTGCGTTCCTGAGGGGCCTCCTGTTGAATTGGCACTGCTGAATACTTAGGGGTTCTTGTGTGGCTCTTGCTTCCCGCTGAAGCAGAGCTGTAGCTTTGTGGCTTTCCTCCTCAGTGCTTCCTGTAAGCCTTTCCAGGAGCTTTTGGAAGTAGGTCAGTACCACACCTTCAAGAGTCAGCACATATATACACAAACCTCAGCTTGTGGCAGTTCTGTATGTCTCGGGTGACTGCTTATAACATCACTTCTGAAGGAATGCTGAAACCTCAGCATGTATTTTGCAGTTACTCACACACTGTGATCAGGGACATGCTAACAGCAGCGAGATGCACAGCCTTTTTAGGTCCTGTCAGAAGGGACTGCATACTTTAGCTCCCACACAGGGTATTTTCTCCATATGTAACTGCCTCCACTTGGGGTTCCACTTAAATATTGTTTAAGGACTTAGAAAACACCTCCACTTTCTCCTGAAATGGGTATCAAGTAGGGTTGTTTTCTGTACCATTGTTTGGCACCTGTGGTTTGGTCAGCACAGGAGAGGGTAGCGTGGAAGAGCTTTAGCAAAGCCTGCATTGCAATTTAATGTTGGTACTCCTTTAAAAGGCCCCCTGCTTTCTAGCTAAAGTTTACACAAAGATGAAGAATGCCTCTTGAGGAAGCGTTGAAAACCTTTAAGAGCCAAGGAATCCATCAGTGATAATTTGTCAGTACCAACATGTAACCTAAACTCTTGCACAGCTGACTGGTCTCCCAGAAGAGTCTGGTGTATGTCAAGTGGTTTGTTTTAATCCACAATGCGGTGTGAAATGCCCACAGCAAGATTTCAGCTGGTTATTGATGATCTGAGGCCAGCTGTGGATGTTCTGCTTGCTGGCTTAGTTGTACCAGTGCTAGACAGTATTGCAGCACAGGCTGCAGTTAAGCCTTACCTAAGTGAATGTGTCCTGTCAGAAATGCTCTAGGTTTTTTGTGGTTGGGCTGCTCCTCCAACTGGTGTAAGACTCCAGTGCTTTGGGATGGACAGCAGGCAGACTATTCTACTACAGGAAGCAAGGTACTGTTGATTTTAAAGACAGCTTGTGTTTTGCCAGATAGTTGAAATCACGTGAACACTCTGCAGCCCGCTGAAATGTTCTGCAGATCCCCAAAGTGTCTCTGAAACCTTCAGAAGCAACTGAGGAGAACTGTTTCACTCCCTCTGCTGGCATACTTTGGATGGCTTGGATTACTGCAGCCAGTTGGAGAGGAGTGGGGTTCCTGTGCCATCCCGCTTGCTGTGTTGGTGGCATATCTGTCCAGCAGAGTATGGCAAGCATCCCAGCACCTTGTTTGGTAGCTGCTACAACCGCTATAGCCAGCCATCACAGATGGACCAGTGCCAAATGTAATTTATTTGGTGATTTAGTGCAGGTAATAGATGAGGCTTTGAGATACATCTGGATTTGTGTGTGCTGCGATTAAGCAGCTTTAGATTCCTGACCACAATAACAAAATACAGCAACAGCAGTTGCGTGAGAGAACCTGGGGGGGTGGAGCTGAGTCCATAATACTCACTTCGCACCCCAAGCTCCCTTTGTGAGCAGCGCTTGCCAACTGCGCCAGCCGCCATGCCGAACAGCCACAGGCAGAGGAATGGATGGGCAGCCCAGTCTGAGAGCAGTTGACTCTTCTTGTCAGGCCTGATTACTGGAAATCTGGGTCACGCTCTCAAAGAATTGCCTCCTCCCCTGGGCGGATGGCCTCCCGCTCCACTGCACTGTGTGAGCCGGCTGGTGCAGTGCCTGCAGCAGTAGGAGGAGTCTGACATACTTGGCCCAACAACCTGTGTCTTGGAAGAACGGTGGCAAGGCTGCTACAAGCAGTTGCTCTCTTCCGTGGCTTGAACTGGAGTCTGAAGTTTCACTGGGTGTTGGCAGTGATGGATGTTCACCTCTTATGTGTATTTCCTTGGGGGAGTCATTGCCATTCTTGGGCTTTGCATCTGGCTGGTGACTCCAGGGAGGGTTCAGACCCCTTTTTGCTCATGTTGTGTTTTTAAGCCTGTTTCCAACAAGTAGCCTGGACTTCGAACATGACCTCCCTACCTTTATCTTAGTCCTGTTTACGTGGTGACGTGCAGTTCGGGGTAGGGTCGCACTGATTTTTAGAACCTCTTGGATGGCCTGAACCAAGTTTGCTGTTGGCCAGACAGCATCAAAGATGTATCTGTCCCTACCAGCTTTAGGACATTAGGCTGACAGGTAGAGGAGGGTAGACCTCAAGGGGCCTTTACAGCATGATCAGGGCTTGTTAAACAAAGGAGACTTATAAAGACTATGTTGCTGCACAAGCTTTGGTTGAGCCCTGTACATCCTCAGACACTAGTCAGCTAGCCAGGACACCCAAATCCGTGGGCAGCCAGGCTCATGACTTCCAGTTGTCATAGAAATATTTGGGGTTTTTTTCCTCTAGATATCTAAAGGCAGAGCATAATCATCTGTGATCTCTGCCATTGAAACACTGCTCCTTCCTTCAGTACTGCATGGAGTAAGTCCCTGTTTGATCATCACTGGGTTGGGTGCAGAGAAGAATGGGAGCAGCTTTCCCTTGCTCTTATCCAGACTGCCAGACCTTAGGAGTGTAGTTATATCTGTGCCTGGCACAAAGGGCTGTCAGGGGACATAAAAGAGCCCTAAAATTAGATAATTAGACATGAGACTGCTATTTGTTACTTAATTCCGTGGGAAAGGACAGAGACAGCAGGGAGATCTCTGGTGTTTGTACACAGCATCCTGCCAGGGACTGTGGTCTGGTCTGGGCTGGTCAGTGGGAAATGCAGCTCAGACCTGCTAGTGCCATGCTGAGCTCCAAGGCAAGAGCTGAAGCTTTGCCCAGCTCAGGAACCATGCTGGCAGCCCTCTGAGAATGACAAGGGCTAGGCAGCTGCCCCAGGGATGGCACTGCCCAGGCGCATGGGACACTGGGGCAAGCTGTGCGATCTCTGCAGCAGAGAGTCCACATGCTAGCAGCAGGGTGCACCTCGGATATGAGTGTCATGCCACATGTTTGTCAACACAGGTTGCAAGGTATGCTGGGGCACCCTGAGACCAGTGCTCTGGCTGCTCCAAGTCTCACTGAAGCTTGCGCAGCTCAGACTCCAAGCCAGTGATTCCTGCTTGCGTGAGAGCATGAAGAAGGTCCCCAGAATGCATCCCTAGCTCAGGATGATACATCTCCAGCTCTGCTCTGTTCAAGTGGTAAAAATGTCAGGTTGTATTTTTCACTTGGCTGACTAATCTGCTGTGTTCTCTCTACAGCACAGCCATCGGAGGAGCCGGGAGGGGAGAGGTAAGCTCACTGATGTGTTTTTCGGTGAGAGGGGAGACTGGGGAAGCCTTAATTTAGTGTGGTGATCTCACATGCTCTTTTTGCTGTTGTCGATAGACTGCCTGGCTCCTGCTGTGAAACATTGGTAGCGGTTTCTCCTGCACTGGGAGCTGCTTATCAGCTCAGGAGCCACAGTTTGAGACTCTGGGGAAAGCTAGTGTTCTTTCAGTAGCAATAAAGCTCAAGTGCTTCTGACATTAGGAACTCTCAGGTTTCTTCCCTAGATCTGTCCTGGACTATTTTAAGAATCCTCCAGAGAGAAGGAAATCCCCAAGACTGACTTTTGCAGGCCATACGTGCTGTCTGCGGTGGCGTAGCTTGCATCCTGTGCTTGGCCATGGTTATAGGTCTGAGCACCACACTCTGGCTACCTCAGATGTGGTGCCAGAGGAGGCCACATAGCTAGTTTGACCTCCAGCATTTCTGTCTGTGTGGCTTTGAGTAAACCCCTTTGCATTGTGGGCTTGTGGCATGGGGATGTTGTGGCATAGTGGCTGCTGCTGCTGCTTGGCTCATGTGTCTCTTGGCTGTCTTCCTGATTAAAGGAAAAAAGTATCTCTAAATCAAGTGTCTTCCATAGTTCAGTTGAAGATGCAATCAGTATTGTTAAGCTTTTGGTAGGGATCTCTGCTTCCCCGTGCAGATGTTCTGCGCCGCACCCTCCCCCCTCCCCACCCCGCAGCAAAACAGACCGTGTTCAAAGATTGTCGTCTTGTTCTTGTCTTGCTCTTGTCTGTCTCTAGTGAGGGGGTGACTTCAGGGGCACAACCTCACCTGCTCAGTGTCCCTGAGCTGTGCCACTGTCTGGCAGAGAGCTGGGTCACCTTCAGGCTGTACCTGCAGGAACTGCTACAGTACAAGAGGCAAAATCCCGCCAAGGTAAGCTGGAGATACCTACACTTCTGCGCAGGGGCTTTTATTTCCATTACTAGTGGCCTAGGAGATGGAAGAATGCAAAATCAATATTTTTACAATTGCTGTCCCTGTTTAACATTTGCTGTTCATTCCTTTCAGACTCTAAGCCATGGGAAGCATAAATAATGAGTAATTGGCTTCCAGTGTTTGTGAACTGGAGCTGAACTTAACCCCATCTGTGATTGGCTAGCTATACTTAGTTTTATTTCTTAGCATGCAAAGGAAGCTCTTAGATTGGGAGTGGGGAGAAAAAAGAGGAGCCTACAGTCTCTGCCCCTTTCACAGGCTCCATTCTTAAGCTGGTCCTACCTATTTTGCTAGCCAAGTCCAAATGCAGAGGTGTTTCTGAGTGCATGGAAACTTGTCGTTAACCATGTTCTGATGGCTGTGACGTGTGTTGTTTGGAAAGGGTTTGTAGACAGGAGTTGCCTTACCATCACAAAAAATAGGACAGACCAGCCACTGAGATTGTATCAGGCTTGCTGGGGTCCAGTGTGCCAAAAGGAGTGGGTTTCTATCACTGCTGATTACTCTTCTTCTGTTAAAACACTGTCCCAACTACAGCAAGTAGGAGACCAGGACCAAGGTGCCCATAAAGCGTGAACTCATTGGCAGTAAAGCCCTTAGAGGGCCCTAGCTTTTGTAGACCCTTTCCAATATGAATGAAACTCTTCATTGCTGGATTTAGTCAATATCTGAACCCATGCCCTGGCTTGCAGGGTGTCTGTTCTCACTTCTCCCCCTCCCCAGGAGAATGCAGGACAAGCCATCAGGGCTGCACCATTATACTTCTACTTTTTCCAGAGGAGGAAGGTCCTGGTCTGGTGGGAGCGTGGGTTCTGCTAATGCTTCTGCCAGCTGGTTTATGGCATAGCAGTGGCACAGCATCTGGTGACCCTATAACACCTTCCTGTCTCTGTCGGGACAGTATGGACTTCTCTTAAAAGTGCTGAGCTCTGCAGGAGAGATGTATTCTAAAATGGCAATTTGCAATATCCCATCCTGGCCTCAAGGAACATAATTTACCTCATAAAGAACTGTCCAATCAAGTTTTGGTTCTTTTTATTGGGATGTTGGGTTACCTTGGTCTTCCTGCGCTTGAACCCCCTAATGCTTACAGCTTAACCCAACCAAGCTGAGTTGTGATTGTCAGCATCTGAATGTACTCAGTGCAAAGCTGGTGTACTGACTTTGTTAGGAGCATCCCTCATTTTGCTCTAACTGGGTTTCCTGCATTGGTTGCATAGATGTATCTCTGCCTCTTGTCACTTCTGTTTGTTCCTCTCTCTTCCTTCAGTTCTGCATGAGTGTGTGTTCAGGCTGCCTGGTTCTGGCTGTAGTTGGACACTATGTTCCAGGCATAATGATCTCCTACATCATTTGTGAGTATAAGCAACTCTCTTGTCTGACTTAAGCTGAAACATGACCTAACTATGCTGTTGATATGCTGGTAGAAGCATATTTGTGGTTTTCTTGAGGGGATCTGTGCTAGATGATTAATCAATACAGGCAATGTGCTCTGCGAAGTCTCTTGCTTTAAGTGTGTGCATGCAGTATAGTGGCAAAGTCAGGAGAGGGAGCTGTCGCTAAAACATTGCTTTCCTCTTCTACCCATGCCTGGGGCTGTGCTGGTGAGGCTCCAGGGAAGCAAAAAGCTGCAGTCTCTCAGTTCCTAGAGTGGGCAAATCCATATCGAGAGAGTTCTTAAAGAAGCTGCATGTTTGGTAAATAAGACCTTTTTCACTGCTTCATGAGTCCTTGCTAACTCTGGAGACTGTTCAGGTGGTCTGCTGCTAGCGCATCTACATATGAGCTCTATGCTGCTACCCTTATAAAAGTTCTGGTGATTTTTAGTTTTAATAACCTCATTTTAGGGCCTCTATTGCATGTTGGGGCTGGGATGCAGTGGCTGAAGAGGAGGGCTTACGCTTCATCTTAACATAAATCTGTATCCTAACAGAGATCTGTTAGGAAAACCTGGTTAATCAAGCAGCTTTGGAATGAGTAAGAATAGCTATGGATGAGGATTTTAGGCAGAGTCAGATGGGAAAGCAAGTGCCATTCAACTGCACTTCCCTTGATGCAGTTTTTCTTGCTGGTGCCCTGTGAAGAGCTGGGTTGCGCTTCGTTTGTCTCTCACACTACCCGTATCCTGTGTCCGCAGTGCTCAGCATTCTGCTCTGGCCCCTGGTGGTCTACCATGAGCTGATCCAGAGGATGTACACACGTTTGGAGCCTGTCCTGATGAAACTGGACTACAGTATGAAGGCAGAGACGCTGCACCACAAGCATGAGAAGAAGAGTAAGGACCCACCTCTCTAACTTTTTCTGGTGCCGTACTCCCAGGGTGGAGCCCTAGCAAAGGGACAATAGGAGACCACATCTGCCAACACTGTGTGGTGAAAAGCTGCAGCGGAGCAGGGGAAAACAGGCTGAAACTTGAGGGTTCTGGAGAGAGCAACTGGGCCAGTGATCCTGGGAACAGCAAATGAAAGCAAGAGGTTACAGTTGTCTCTGGGAACCCTGGGCTTCTGGGAAACCTGTGCAGTTTCACAGGGTAGTAGAAGTAGTGGGAAAGTGATGTATAAAGGCATAAAATTCCTTCAGTCTCATGTAAAGCCTTTCTTCTCTTTCTCATAGAGCGACAAGGGAAGAGTGAGCCTGCAGCAGGTGATGAGCCAACAGCAGAGACGGAGAGTGAGAGTGAGGCAGAGCTATCAGGCTTCTCCCCAGTGGTAAGAGCACAAAGAGCTGAGCAGGAACCAGTCCCTCCTGTCTGGTCTGTAGCAGCTTGAGAGGCAATGGGTGGTCTGAGTACAGCTGCATTGAAAACAAACAGCAGAGCAACAAGTCACTTATTTGCAGAATCCCAAGGGGAAAAGAGTATTTGTTTGATGAAGGCCATTGTTTCCAATCTGGGTATTGAGAATTCAGTGCCACAGGGCTGGTGATGCAGTAGCAGGACAGGGCAAGCTGTGCTCCAGCCTCCTGCTGACCTGCAGAATTGCTTTGATGGTTATGCTTCATGCTCAGAGAATGTGAGTGTCTCCTAAAGAAACCAACTCTCCTGGTGTAATGTGCGGAGGCTCGTCACCACTGGAAAAGGTTCATGAGCAGCACTAGTGTCTCTTACACAGTTCGTGCTCTCAGTCACACTGGGTGTGACTTTTCTACATGTGCACCACAGAAACACACCAAATGTCTTCGTTTACAGGAACTCCGGGCATGTAGCTGGGCTGTGAGGTGGGAAGCTTCAGCTTCCAAAGGAATGCAGATACTTGAACCGCTGCTACTTGTAGCAGGCTTCACTGGGCTCAGCATGAATGCAAAAGGGAAGGGGTGTTCTGCTCCTTGGTGATCCCAGGAGAGGAAGAAGGATCAAAGCCTTCTGAGATTCCTACAGGCTGATCCCATCTTGTGCTGGCTCTTTCGGGTTCTTCACTGAGAGCAGGCAAAGCTTCAGGCAGTGAATTATTGCAGGAAAGCCAGTGAGCTGAGGCTACCCTTCCCTGGCAGTGCAATGAGCACTTTGCCCAGCCCCCTCCTGCTTTCATACTGTCCCTGTGCAGTGTACTGTCCCTCCAGCAAGCACTTCTGCCTGGAAGCTCTGGTTTGTGCAGAGGTGCCCGTAGGCAGCACTGGTAGTCAGACACCCAGGAATTTGTCCCTCTGCCTTCATCCCATGCAGGTGGATGTGAAGAAGACTGCCCTGGCACTGTCCATCACAGATTCTGAGCTCTCTGATGAAGAGGCTTCCATCCTGGAGAGTGGGGGCTTTTCTGTCTCAAGGGCTACAACCCCACAGCTGACGGACGTTTCTGAAGGTACGAGATGGGACACCTTGCTGCCTTCCTTACCCTGGGTGTTTTGTCCCAGAACAACTGGCCCTCCAAATGGGAGGACAGGGAAGGAACCAGCTATTTGCAGGGGGAAGAGCATTGAAAGGAAGAAGCAGTAATAGCAGCACAGGATGCCCTGGCTTCATGGCTGACCATGAGCTGGTCCTGAGTGAACATTGGCCTCTGATTACTGCCCCACAAGGCGACACTCTCTCGTGACTCTAGCAAGGGAGTGAGGCCATCCACAAAGTCCCGCAGAAATAATTGCATGGTATAGTCACACGCCCATCTATGATGCTGGGTGAAACGGGTCAGATGCTCCACCCTGCCAGACTTATAAGCTCAGAGAAAGACTGGTTAGTGGTGAGGAACATGAAGGTAAGCACTCGGATGTGGTCACCTGAGTGTCAAGAGGAACAGGCAGGTGACGTGCTGCAAGCACAATTTCCCTGACCCTGTGGGTTTTAGTGGAGGGCTCTAGATGCAGAGACTGTGAGCTGGAGAAGAAATTCCTCTCTGAGCACAGAGCACATAGAACAGGATGAGAAAAGGGACACTCCATGTGAGTTGTGCCACTGGGAGAAGGGAATAACTGCAGACCCCTTCCTGCTGTGCTCCCAGAGCTGGGAGGATGCCCAAAAGTGAGCCCTGGTTTGTCAGCTGGGGGGAGGTGGGTGGGAGGTGTCAGTGCCCTGGGTCAAGGTGAGGGGACCTGCGCCTTAATGCTGGTGCCTTTCAGACCTGGATCAGCAGAGCCTGCACAGTGAGCCGGAGGAGTCGTTTTCCAAGGACCTGGCAGAGTTTCCCTCCGTGGAAGAATATCATTCCAGAGACCTGGGACCACAGAGCGATGAAGACGCATTTGGTGTGCCTCTGGGTCCTGAGCTTGCTCACGCTGCCCGTGAGCTGGACTCGGCAGAGAAGGAGGCCGCGGACTCTGACCTCTCCATCCTTCGCCTAGCATCTCCTCTCCATTTTGTAAATACGCACTTCAATGGGAGCGGGCAAGTGGCAGGAGGCAACGCAGAGCCAAAGACTGTCCCTGCCCCAGGCCTGGGCATCTGCATTGACACGCTGAGCGAGGAGATCGTCACCACTGCCATTACCACGGCCGTGCAGAACACCCTCTCTGCCCTGCTGCGGTCCTCGGAGGCCAGCGAGGGGCCCTCCCTCTCCGAGTTCCTCCCCACCGAGCCTGAAGAGAAACTGAGCTTCCAAGCACAGCTGTCAGAGAGCGAAGTGGTGGAGACAGAGACAGCAGCTTCACCAGAGGATGAGGAGGAAGCAGATGACTTTGAGCTACTGGATCAGGGGGAGCTGGAGCAAATGGATGTAGAGCTGGGGCTCGGAGAGGAGCAGGAAGCACAAGAGTCTCCTGCCACTCCGGCTCCCCCCTCTCCCACGCTTGCTGAGCTGCCAAAGCAAGGAGATGAGGAGGAGGCAGTGATGACAGCAGCATCTATGTCTTAGGTCTTCTTCATGCGCCCCCTTTTCCTCCATTGTCACTGGAAAAAAGGAAGAACTTGCACGGTGAACATGCAGTGGGTTTTTAGATGTTTGTGTTGACTGGGATGGAAACGCGTCAGTGTTAATGTGCTGTGTCTGGAATAACGAATCCTTTCCATCCTTCTAGAGCCCGGCCTTCGCTGGCTGAGCGGGAGATGCCCCTGCCCTGCGGCTGGGGAAGAGCCGGCTCCTAGAAGCCTTACGCCACAATCGAAACACCAACCCCAGCAAACGCTTCCTAGTAATGGTGCAGTATTTTGGTCTGTCTTCTGTTTGTCTTTCGTTTTGCACGCAGAGTACCGAGCTAGCTGTAGCTGCTGCTAATACCCACATCCCCAGTAGGACATATGCAATCTTATTTTATTGGGTTTTTAAATGGCTCAAAGTGTAAATAATTTTAACTTTCATTGGTTTCGTTTGGGGGGAGGGGTGGGGTGCACAGTCAAACTTGGCTCTCGGGGGCTAGCGGAGGGAAAGAGGTCTTTGGAGGGGAGGGTAGCAGTAAGGGGACAAAAGCAGACAGGCGCTGTGCAGCGAAGAGACCCCTTCTGCAACTTGTCACCATCTTTCACGTCACTGCTGGAACAGGGTGTCGGGCGATACCTGTTTTTTGTCTGTCTGATTTGAGTTCTGCTACTGGGTGGCTGCGGAGTTTTTTGCAATCAATGAAATTCGCTCCTGGCCCTGTTCAGTACTCGCGTTTCTTCCTGCCGTGGCCTCTCCGGGGCACCTCTCGCCGTCCACACCGCTGACCCTGCTAGCGCCCCTTCCGTGCTGAGCTGGGCAGCAGTAGCGTGGCACCTGAAGATTTTGAAGTGGCTTGAAGAGAGCCCGGAGCGCTGTTACACAGCGGAGGATCCGTGTTCTGTGTCTCTTTTGGGTCGGGGG